GTGAGGTGAAGGATGAAGATAAGTGAATGCAGTCAAAAGAAATATAAAGTACGAAAGAAAGGAAAGAGGAGTGACAAAATAGTGAGATTCGGTATAGCGTTGTTAAGATGAGGATAATGTGTGTATACATCTGCGCCACTGACTTCGGTTCTGAGCCATATCACCTAGGGTCTCCAACCACTGGTTCCTCTTGTCCCGTGGACCCCAACCACCTAGTCTGCATCGTCCTACATGGCTTAAACCAACAGTCAGAGACTTCATACATTGGTGCCATGTTTTAGTCTGGCCACCTCGGGCCTTTTTCCAGCCTGAACCCACCTCAGCCAACATTGTGTGACGAGGCAATCGGTGACTAGGCATACGTAGTACGTGTCCCAACCATCTCAGTCGATGAAGGTTCACAACCTCGTCGACTGACTTACCTCTTCTCCCTAAAACTCTACACCTAACTTCTGCATTACTCACATGGTGACACCACGGAATACGTCCTATACTACGAAGGCAACGGTGGTCAAATACCTGTAACCTTCTCATGTCTTCCACTTTCAATGGCCATGTTTCACAGCCATACAGTAGAACAGAGCGGACTGCTGTGCAGTACACGCGACCCTTAATAGACAAACGAATATCACGGCGGCGCCATAGGTGGCGCAAATTGGCAAAAGCCAATCGAGCCTTTTGTATCCGTGCAGAAATCTCATCGGCAACTAACCCACCGGAGTTGATCCTACTTCCCAGGTAAGTGAAGTGGTCAACACACTCAACCACTTCACTCTCTATTGTTAACCGCGGTACCGCTGAAGACCAGTCCTGGAGCAAAAATTTGCATTTGGGTGGTGAAAATCGCATCCCAAACATTCTCAAATTTCCACTCAAAGTGTTCAGAAGACTCTGCATCTTGTCAGCGTCTTCACCTAACAGGACTATGTCATCTGCATATTCTAGATCTAAGGAAAATTCACCTGTGGTCCGGTCAACGTCTTTGTAATTAGGTGACGAGAGGGAAACCTCCATAAGAATATCTATGATAAAATTAAGCATCATCACTCGTTATATTCAACCAAAATCTGAGTAATAAAATGCAAAACGATTACAAAGTAATAGTTACTAGTAGAAAAAAATCAATGCCCTTACATATGTCAGTTAGATGTAGATGAATTCAAAAGTTATTGAATATCAAATTAGCATTAGTTTCCAGATACTTATTCACATTTGAAGTGTGACGAAACTTGTTCCGAGGGACCATAACACGAAAAATTGAGTGAATTTCTGGCTGCCATCGGATTATTGCTTCTCTTCCTTCTGCTTCACGACAGCTTCTACAGTGACTTGAAAAGACATACAAATAAATGAATTTCTACAAGAGTAGGAAAGAAATTCACTGGTTGAACTACAACGATTTTACATATGAGCCTGTAAAATAGAACAGAAATGAGCCGATGCAAGTTGCCACACTTCAAAGAAAATCCAAATAAGAGATTTTTAAAAGTTGATTAAAGCAGATAAATTTAATCAAAAAGGGTGATAAATTAACAGAAAAAGCTAAACAAACTATTCAAAACATTCAGAAGGGTAATGAGTTCTAACATTTCCATCGTTAAATGATGTCGTTTCAAACCAGTAGGTCCCAAAAGCTGGTAATAATCTCGAAAAAACCGATAGCATAACCAAATCTTATAAAACTTATTTAAAACACTTATAAAAGCAGTTAAAACTCCACCAACGCGTTCAAAATAGGGTTCAATATGAAAAATGCATAACATTTTAAATGACCTAACACGATAAATTACACTTCATTTTCAAAAATTACACTTCAAAGCTGTCCCTGATTCCAAACTTGGGACATAACTATAACCAGGTAGAAAACCGTAGTCATTTCGTAATTCATCCTTTGTAAAATTGAGTACATGTGCATCACGACATTACCAATCTTTAAACAATAACTGCAAAACATAACGCAGATGTGTCTCCACTAGTCACCAAATCACCAAGTGACCTAGATCACAACGCCTCCTTAGCAGTGTATTTCATCTATCCACTGCAACTGTCACGTGCTACAATTATAAGTTATCCAGGTAGTTTCACTCTCCACAAACTATCCATTTATTCAACTTATAAGAGACCTATTAACAAAATGAACAACTAAATCCTCTTTATTGAACTGTTCGTATGTGGGTGTCTCGAATGAATGACATTGTATATTCTCACAAATTTTAGGGGCTGACAAGACATATTACTTAATTCCAAGTCAGTTAGCAATCCCCATAATGTAATAAGCCTGACAAAATCAGCGACTATGTCCTCTTTCGTTGCTAGCGCTGATTGTCTCCTGTTTCGTGAAAACATTTCTAAGTTTTGTACAAAAAAGGGAGAGTTAAAACACAACATCCGACTCCATGACTTCGGAGACCAATGCTGAAAATATCACTTTAATCTCAGACCACGAAAAATATCGTCGGCTGCAATTATAAGTCGCCCAGAGAATAAACGCTTTAAACTCAACATTCCATATCATCATTCGCATAGTAATCAGTGAGAGAATCCACCTCACCCCAGATTGCCGAAAACTAGTAGATAACACACTTACTTCTGTCCACTCCTTTCAACAGCAGCCAGACTTTGCAGTCTTATGCAATATATCCTCATTTGTAATTCAACGCGGTACTAAACGACAAATAAAAGTGGCCAAACACTGAATTTTGGCAACAAATCGACTTCCAGATGCTTTCCAGTCTGGATTATGCTACTTCACACTCTATTCTCTGATCCCAACCCAAAGTAGTTCTCAAACTAATTGCTACATCTTGAGAGCTTTAGCATAACTCGTAAACAGTCCTGTGCTGAGACGTTCGTGCCTTTCAGGTGGGTTACCGCGATTCACCAACTCTTAATATTCGCCTGGCGTGACTCAGCAAGTCGGCTTTGAAATGCCATCGTTTACCACCACGACGTGCGACACTTCACACAAACAGTAGTTGGATTGCATTCTGTAGTGCTTGAATGTGTTGGGCGTGCAAAGAGCGCGAGTCACTAGGTGAATTGACTTACTTGGCGAGATTGTTGCGTTCGTTAGACAGACGGTGTCATTCAAGGGCAGAAGCAAGGCTAATGCAGTGCCACAACCTACCCTGTCACCCTCTCGACTTACCACACCAGAATAAACAGATATGTTACATTCACAAATTATTCGTCTTTGGAATTCTTGATGAGTGGGAAGTGTTAGCTGTTAAGGCATCGATTGGTCACGCATTTCGATTCATCATTTCATATGATGTGAATTACATATCTTTGCTCCGAACGGCTTTTTAAAAAGCCATAGATTCAGACTGCATTGCTCGCATTGCTACTTTCTTCCTCGATATTGCTTGAAAATCGGAAATTTTGTGGAGATTTTGCATAAAACCATACTTTTTTCTCTTCAATATGTATGCCTCAATTCTATATTGGATTGTCCATTTGATAAAGCATATAGGTAAACCATTGGAAGGTGATTATTGCTCACACTTCTCTACACGGCTCTGGAGGAATCGTTAGAGACTTCATGAACTGTTATCACGTCTTGTCCTGGTTGCCGAAACCGTTGATCTAACCCCATCCTACTGTAACAAACAATACACGTTGAGGTGGGCGATGTCTCAGCATGTGCAATACACGTCCAAGCCACTTCAGTTGGTCAAGGTTCAAAACCCCAGTGCTTGACTTGCTCATACGGCGATTCCACCAGAGGCAAGCACTCCTAAGACGACAGTTAGGGTCAAAAACCTAGCTCTTCAATTCCCCTGTCAATTTTTGTTCCACCTTAATCGCATAACTAGAATAAGCTTGTCTAACTGATTTCGTTAAATCAACCACTGATATTATATTAATTTTTTTCCTACATCACGATCTAACTTAAGGAGTATAAAGGTCATCTTTCGTACCAACTTGAGAACTGAATATCAGATATATACTTTAGAAAAAGATAATTTTAGCAAGATTGAAAAGTCTGACAACTGTACAGAATACTTGTTCTAATATATTATGCCAGGATAACGCAAATAAAAGATATCCAATACCATGAATCTAGTAAAAATAGTATAAAGGATTCTTTAAGTCCTCTCAATAGATTGTAAACAATAAACACCTGCGGACATCCTATTCCTTATCATAATCGAAATATTTTTAAAAATGTATACGAATGCCATCTCGATGAGATTTTATTTATTTCCTCGGACTACTGATTATTCTGTTCATTGGTACTTCTAAATTTTAAGCATAAAAGTTGACTTCTACCACCACTGATAATCAAGCCAACGCTAAAGCAACGGTACTTTTTGAAATGAAATTTAACTATCTTTCCACAAATCTTTGGAAAGTAAACTTACGCCCAGGAAACCTTCCAACATTTCTGGAAATTTCGATACCATACCAGAATTTCAATAATGGTATACAGTTAGCCTGTTTTTTCTATTATGAATTCATTGGCGTGGGTTTATTTACACAAATGACTGTTGACATTCTCAGATTAGTTAAATTGAACAAAGCTCTAGAAATATATTTAGCAACTTTTCACTGATTATACCAAGGGTATTTTACCCTTTCATATGCAAGCAAGTTGACAAATGCACAGCTGAAACCCTGACAACATCTGACACGCACTATACAACTTCAACGAAATTTCTCTACGCCATTCAGTCATAACCAAGTCGAGAATAGCTTCACGTTACAAACTCCACCTATTGGAACAAAACTACGACCAATATTTCAGTGGTTACTAATACATTTTGTGATTGAAAGATTTCTCGCTACTTTGAAACCACTAGTTAAGTTGGATGTAATCATTGAAAACATGAACACCTAGTTGGTTACTTTTTTATCCACAAAGATAATACTAATAATGATGACAATAATAATAACGATGAATTTACAATTAGACTGCAAGCTGTTACTACAGTACCAAATAATTTGTCATTTAGCAGTTACTGAATGAAAAATGGAACTTTGAAATATTAACAGCTTACTTGATATTTTGAACTCATCAACAAAGGTTTTTTACATAACAGAAAATACTGACTGGAGGGATATGATAGGAGAAAGAAAAATAGTCCAGGTTAATACAAAGTCTAACATTGAACGCAAAATAAAGTATGCAGATATACAATCCCTGAGGTTACGGCAGTATTAACACAAAAACTAATGATTATCGCAATTCTGGTTGATTTGAATTGCACAAACTACGATACGCCTGAATCCAAAATGAATACAGCAAAGTAGAATGACAAGCAGCCAAACACAGAAGCACGGAGAAGACAAATAGCGATTTACAACATTCTTTTACAATAATGAGCTAATAAGCCACACTTTGTTGTATAACTGAGAGACATTTTTCAAAATGCACTGTCGTGCCAGTAGTTACAATTCGATTACCATTGGTATGCTATTCACCTGAAAGAGATTTTACATAGAATAATACACAAGATGCATATACTCCATCATGGTTTAAATGATAGTACTATACAAATACAGATAACAACTGAATAACAGCTACCGAAATGGATACACGGGCGTCGGTTTATGACAAGTAAGTTAGATATGGATTTTTAAAAGGTGAAGTTGAAGACTTTCGAAAATTACCGAGTTTCTCGTTCCTTTTCAAAAACCATTGCATCTCCAAATATTAAGATGGTGGAGAACATTTGTAGCTGAGGGTGATTTTGATAGAGCTGCGTTGTCTGAGCTGGATGTCTCAATCGTGAAGCCTATATTGTCATTCTAGACATCATCACTATAACCTTCAGAAAGATGTAAGATATGGGGTTTTCCCCGCAATTGGCAAAGGAGCAAGTCCGGATGACCTTGGGTGCAACTAGTTTTTTTTTTTACCAAAGCGAAAGTTGTCCCATTTTCATTGATTTATTAGATTTATCACAGTGTAACAGTATTGTTTACTAGATTACGTTTTGGATATAATTTATTGTCCATAGTCATATTAAGATAAGGAGCTTATCAATTAATTTGGGAGGGTAATTGTCGATGATTAAGGTATCTTTAATGTATCTGATTTCTTGTTTTAGATCTTCAGTTTTACTAGTAAGCTTTTGGCCCTGTTACTTAGACACTTTACTAAGCCAACTTTAACTGACATAGGGTAAGACGATTTGAAGACTAAGTAACGGTTTGAATGTGAATGTTTTCTTTAGACACAGGTGTCTAAACTCCCATCTTGTTTCCGTTTTATTCGGCAATCCAACATTGCTAATTCTCCGCTATTTTCTAATTCATAGGTGAACTGGATAGCGAAACCATACTTTTAGAGCCGGACTGAATTTTCCAACAGCCATCCGTTCCCAACTATCCATAAATATGTCAGCAATAACAGGGGATATCAGTGATGCCACGGCAACTCCTGAAACCTAAATATTGTGGAAGTTAAGCATAGCTGTGCTCGTAGCATGATATCATCTTCTGGTACCTTAGTCCGTAGTGTAAGCTCATGGTCATTATTGAGCTTGTTTCTAACTACTTCCAGGGCCATATCAATTGGTATTTTGGTGTACAAACTAACTAACTAACTAACCACTTTTTCATCGTAATCTAAACGTATGTCATCTAAGTCATAAGAGTTAGTAAGTCTTGATTTACAGTGGCTTCTAACTGGGTTTAGTACCATCGCCAAATATTAAGATAAGTCATAAGTAGGAGCGTTTCTAAAGTCTACTAAAGGTCTTATAGGATAACCTGGTTTATGAATTTTAATAGTACCATAAATCCTACTGTGATTTATAGTTTTCGGCACTAAATTAAACCATTTAGACTCAGAAACGGCTTCATCTGGCGTATTAGACCCACCGTGGCACTTTTAACTTTATTCATGACAATGTCCATTGGTTTTTTAATTTCTTCGTAAGGTCCTGTTTCTATATGCTCCTTGACTTTCTGAATACAATCAGACTTGTTTAACACTACTGCTGAGTTCCCTTTGTCCGATTTCGCGATTACTATATCCATGTCATTTCGGAGTTTTTTCAAAGCTTCTTTTTCTGCTTTTGGTAAATTTTGTTTTGTCTTCTTCTGTCGCACAATGTGCTCGAACTTCAGCTGCCACTGTCTTATCTACTGAACTTAGTGCCATTTCAATTTTAGGACCGAATTCAGTGGAGTAACTTAGTTTACCGAACCTCTTGCAACGATTGCGAGGTTAAATAGGTCAAAGTAGTCGACCAGGATCAATTAGGCTATCCGAACACATAAACCTAGCTAGGTCGAAATCGGTAGATCCTAGTAAGGTAAGGAATTTAGAAAAAAGCTCAGCTATAGCTATGCATGTGATTGCACACAACCACACAATAGGATGGGACAGGGTGAAAATTCTTAAAACTAACACAACAGGGTGGAGGGAGAGATTGATAACTGAATCTTTGTTTATCGAATCAACACCTAACGCATGAAACAGGAATGACTCAGAACCTGCTCCCGACATATGGAAAATCTTACTACCCATCTCACAAAGAAATGAGGAAATTAGGACTATATAAAGGACATCTCAAAGTTGTGTAGTTATCTTGATATGATTATGGACAATAAAATATATCCGAAACGTAATCCAGTAAACAATACTGTTGCACTGTATGATAAATCTAATGAATCCTTAAAATGGAATTATATTCTACCACAATGCACAAGTTTTACACTTATGTTGAGGTGAAATTTGATTCTCTTTTAGTTTCTTGTGTTTCCTCATTGGTTGATAGGCTGGGTTGCTGTCTATGTCTGTTGATTGTTGACTGACTTGAATGTCAAACTTCCAAAAATTTATACGTTTATTTTGTAGATAATGTTCGGTTTGTCTCCTCCCACTGTTGCACTTTATAGCCTGCATAAAAGAGAGTGAAGAGATTTTTGAGCTACATGGATTCAAAAAGACTTCAACGATCTAGTTGTGATATCGGAAACTTCAAAAAGCACTAATTAGGACAGAGTGGTCACCCTCTTCATATACATCTACACAGACATGAAATAAGAGTGAAACGTAATGATATATCTTCGTTCATATCAATGCATGGGGACAACTGTGCACATTAATCCGACTAGGAAAATGTGGGAATCGTGGATAGAGGAAGTACAAAGAATGCCAGAGAATTTTTTTAGAAGCTTGGCATTTAGGTCAGTCAGTGATCAACAGACAGTGACAGTAACCCAATCTATCAACGAGTGAGGAAACACAAGAAACTAAAAGATCAACTTTCACTTTGGTCAAAACAATCAATCACATCCAAGATCAAGACAAGTTACTAAGCCACTTGTGAGGAAAACCAGTAGCTCACTTTTTTCTGAGGTTTGTACTGATGATGTCTAGAATGACAATGAAAGCTTCACGATTAAACCACCCAACTCAGAGAATACAATATTATAAAAACTTCAAAATTGCAGAGTTTGACCAAGTACTCCAATAAAAACTTATTTGGAACATTGATAATCCGAACGCAGTAATATATCGCTGTACAACTAAGTTCTGTGAGCAAATGAAATTCAATTAACCCAACTTGAGACTGAAGTAAACAAAATTATTATCGGAAATTTCTTGATAAGTATTCGCACATAACCGAATGAATACCAAAACGACTCATTAGCACAACTACAAAACACTGAATTAGTCTCTTAGTAACCACACATATGCACTTGGCAAGGGCCCTGAGGGTTAAAAGTCAACCACTTACGACAATGAACCATCGCTCCACGAACAAATGTAAATCAACTAATTTGCACATAAAACTTATTCACACGACATCTTAGAGTCGTATGTGTATGATCGATTATAAAATAAACTGCAGAAAGGTTTCACTGTTGTATAGATCAATAGTATACTTCTGCTTACAACTACACCTAATTCCTCGAGTAACATAAACTGTCCCTCAACCTACTTATAACTCATTGAAGTGAAAAATGTTTTACTGTACATGAAGGTTGAAGTCAAGTCATTGCTAAAAAAAGACAACTCTGGATTTCCTAAAAACCCTTGTATATGGTGTAACTTACTCAACCGAATATACCTTCATGCACTAGGGTATGGGTAACACTTGTTGTAGGACAGCTTACGATTACCAGGTTGCCTAAGCAGAATTAATTGGAGACAGACTCGAACTCAAGGCCCGTTGCTTGGAAATAGAGTTCATTAACCAATGAACACCTCAGCTAACTAAACCCACATAGATAGACTCTCACCTCGATGAAATTATCTGTGGTGGATATTTGTTATCTTAAGTAGAATAGGCGTTTTCATCTAGGTGAATGTGTTCAGTAGTTATCACGAGTACTGCCCAGGAGAGATTTCAAAGGTTGGTTAAAAACTGTGTGTATATTTATCCCATAGAAATGAATGACAGTATGTACTTGTTTCACTCATTGCCAACCATTGAAATGCTGGCGGTGTTCTACTTTTTTTGTGAATTGGATCTCACGTCGAACGTCAGGTAAATAGGCATCTAAAATCACCAACTATTTCGATGACAGTAAACAGTATCTTATAGCAATTAGATTATAGTTCACAACAGTAAAAAAAAATTTTAAACTATCTAGATGCACAATATCATTAATGTTGTTTTCAACAATATATTTCATTGTCGCACTTACATATTCTATATTGTAGCTGAATCATTATTTTACTGAGTTGCTCACTACATCGAACTTCTGACTTGCGAATACTGTTCCCCATCGCCATACAGGTGTATCAACAGAGTAGAATATGAAACTAATCTGGAGCTAGGCGTACCGCTTAGATACCAACCAATAGCGCTTCTTTGACATGATACTCGAGCTTGAACATTGCAATGACTCAACGAGATATACTGGTTGGAACGCTTGTTTCCTCGAGATCCTACCATGCTAGAAAGGTCCGCTGGATAGCGGAAAGACGAGAAGCAGTTACCATTATAGTGTAAGTTCCTACGCTATGATGGGGTCACAGGACGAAGTCGTACCGCTGCGACTTGGGGTGGATGACTATCAGAAGTATGCTATCTTCCCTATGGAAGTGAAATGTTTAGAAAGACAGCCCCCAAAATTACACACTTCACACTACCCCACGGCATGCTAATACCTGCAATGACAGACAAAATCAACGTAGAACCTCGAACATAAGTTTCTCGGCATCGCTTGCCACACTTCACAGCAGAACACAAAGAACAGGTGGATAGGAAAATTGATCTCAAAGTTGTCAGAGAATAAACAATCTGTGTATAACGGGTACTGCAAATATTCAAGCTCTAGATGTCAAGGCGAGAATACATCTAAGCCAGTGCAACCGATTTTCAGCCATATCACCCACAGTCCTCAACCACATAATCTTTTCATCTCAAACTCCAGTCTGGCAATCTGTATCCCTGTATACGAATGAAATGGACTTAACTACCTTGTGTACATCCTTGCAGTAGGAAATGACCCGCACC